AGTTTTTAATGGAAAAATAGATTGACAGAATTAAACCCTCAAAAAATGATCTCCATGAACATGCTTGAATCCATACTTTTATGAAATTACAAGTGAAAAGCGAACAAAGCGAATGGAACAAAAGCAAATCACCGAAATTGACCGCCAAGAACATACTTGACCACTTCATCACCATTCAGCTTCACCACTGCACTTTTGGAAACAATAGTCCTTGTTATCAATGTGCATTATGCCATCTTTTAGTTGAAACTTCCATTTGCTACGAGCACGGTGTACCTAAGACAAGAGACTTAAAGGCAAGACAACATTTTTCCCAATTAATTTGCCACCTATCAATCAAAATTTTGACGTGAAGGTAGACGTTCAAAAAACCACGATCAACACGATGGTTCACGAAATAAAGTGATTTTAATAACGTCATAATACTGTACTGTTACCTTCTCGAATTGGCACATAATGACATTATCAGCATCAAACAGCGTCTCCAAATCCTCGTCATCGCTTTGGTCATCACCAGAATTCAATGGATCCTCTTCGACAATCTTTAAGAATGATGCTCAGCATAATTGAAAAAGAGAATGCCTCGACATAAAATGAAGAACTTTGGCTGACCGCTTGTTCGCCGTCTTCAATTTGTCCATCCCCAATTCTATCAGCGATGCGACGGATTGGATCGTCATCATCATCTGCCTAAATGTTAAATTGTCAGATTGTTCTACGCATATTAGAAGAAGTTTGAAGTGTAACGCATTAAACAACGACAGTACTACATCTAGAGTAAAACCAGCAGCTCGTCAATATTTACAAGCACTTGATAGAGATAATTCAAGGTATATTGAATTTTGAGGGAAGAAAGAATCCCTCGAAAAGTTCAACAGAATAAAAAATCGAATAGATTGAAACGTCCGGCGATGACATGTAGTCTTCACTCCACTGATGGCTTGTAGGCCAATTTTTGTATTGCAGTTCTGCCTTCAAGATTTAGAAGCAGTTTACCTCTTCTTCTTCACTTGACGAGTCAGACATGCCTCCACCACCTCCACCGTCAAGCTGAATAGCTTTCAAGAGATTGCGAGCAACCCTCAGAGCGTCTTCATCTGCAAGGCACGTATTTCAATGTTTGAGCTCATGTATATAAGCATTCGATCTGATACTACAAATCCAAGATAAAGGATTTGCAGAGATATTGGAGCAATGTGCAAAAATGTAACTTCCATACCTGTTATCTTCTTACTTCTATCAGAGATGAGTTTGCGGCTTTGGTTAATTGACTTTGAAGAACAGGGCGCATCCATAAGATCCTGTTCAAAATGAGATAAAAGCAGAACCACATTTAGTAACAAACGATATCAGACTATACGATATTTGTATTTGAAGGAAGGGATTAGTTGAGTGGCTAAGGGTGGAGAGGAAAGGGATAAAGAGAGATTGGGATCCAAAAACGGAAAACTACACTCCCCTCCCCCTCCCACAGTTGTGCTCAT